ACATCCCATGTGTCTCCTTTCACTCTGAAAAGTGTCCTGGCTTGGCTACTAAATGGTCACTCAATTTCAAAGGGCTTTTACATGTGGTATCACACTTCATCCTTGAAACACCCTGTAAAGTGTGCTATTATCTTTCTTTTATAGGTGACTGGTGTCACCTCTGTATTCATAACAAAATATACAGAATTACATTATTATACGGTTATAGTGCAGTTCCGTTATTCTGTCATATTGTTTATAGGCATATTAAAATCATTATTTCAAATTTTAACAAGCATATATCCATGCATTACACCTTTCTGATTTAAAAAAAAAAATCTGTTGTCAAAACCAACAAGCTCTATTAAATGGAACGTAGAGATGACCCCACTCCCCTTCTCGTCTCCCATCTGTTGCTCTGGCATATCAATGATCTACCTAATGTTCTCTGTACTGCAAAAAGTGCTTTTAAAATGATTTTTAACAGGGTACTAACACTGTTTAATACTCTTTAAATTAACACCTCCAAGATACAAACTGTTAACATATTTTAAATTAACAGTGACAACATCCAAACTATTTTTCAGTTAGCCAAAATGATATGGTGACATCAGGGGAGAGAGAATAAAGGAATTTGACAGTAACTTTCCAGGACTTCCACTCTTTCATCTATAAAATGACAATGCTCCCAGTGGCTCAGGAGACTGAGGGAGCGGGGATTGTGAGTTCAAAGCCAGCCTCAGCAACTTAGAGAGGCCCTAAGCAACTCAGAGAGATCCCTTCTCTAAATAAAATATAAAAAGGACTGGGGATGTGGCTCAGTGGTTAAGCCACTGAGTAACCATGGGTTCAATTCCCAATATTCTCCCCCACCCCAAATAAAATGACAATGCTGGTGATAACATCTGTAGTCCAATATCTACAGATGGCAACATAGTGCTCCTCTCTACTTCCTTCAGAGGCAGTGTTCTTCCTCAAATTAGGTGCAGAAATAAAGGGCTTCTGTATATGCATATGCAGACGTAAGGACTGCATGAGGACAAAGCTAACCAGGTACCCCAGTTTTAAACCTTTTAAAAGGATACTGTTTTGTTGTTGTTGTTTTGGTACTAAGGATTGAATCCAGGGCTCTTTAGCACTGAGCTACATCTCCAGACCTTTTTATTTTTTATTTTGAGATAGTGTTTCACTAAGTTGCTCAGAGCCTAAGTTGCTGAGGCTTCAAACTTGCATTCCTCCTGGCTCAGCCCCTGCCGTACCCAGCTCACACTGGCTCTCATCTAAGCACCAGGGACAAATACTGGTCCTCCTCTAAGAGGTTTTCAGAATATCAAAAACTTCCACTGCTCACTGTCCTCTCCTCTGACGTCACCAACCCAAGCCCATGTCTTTCACATCAAATACTTCACATTGGGCTCCCAGCTTCCATTCTGGGCTTTCTAGAATGCACTCACTACCCAGCAACTGAGAATGATCTAAAAGATGAAGTGATCATTGACTCTCTACTTAAAATCCTCCAATCATTGCCAGGTGCCCAGAGGACAATCCGTCCCTTCCATAGCCTACACAGTTCATCAGGAGCTCCACTTGGCTTCCCTCCCTTTACATCCCTCTCCCTGGGTACACCCCAATTGGCCTTCCTCATCTTCACCCAAGAGGTACAGTCTGTTGTCACCTCAGGCCTTTGCCGCTACCTGAAATACTTTCTTGGGTGCTTCACATGGTTGATCTTTTCAGATCTCACTTTAAATGTCAGCTTTCAGAGACATCATACCTGATCAACATATTTTATCCTAATTGTTGGCAGCTCCACCCCCATTACTTTATCATCATTCCATCAAATTCATTCTCAAAACTTAATTATGCTTCTTCTCAGAAATTATCTTATTTACTTATTTGATGGCATGCTATTACCTCTCTCCCTTAAGCAGAAGTAGGGGCCCTCCCTCCTCTGTTGTGTTTAGAAGGTCTGAAACACTTACTTGTTGACTAATCACAAATATTACTCATTTCAGCTCATTTTTCTCCCCAAGAGCAGAAAAGTCAGGGAAGGGAAATACGAGCAGATTCAAAGATGGAGAGGGCACAAATCTCATCATAGGAGAGTAGAACAGAGGTTAGTAAACAACTTATATTTAATATTTACCGAACGTTACTATGTACTGGATTCAGTGCAAAGGCTTTTACTGCATTTCACCTTCAAAACAACCCTCCGAGGTGGATTTCACCATCTTCATTTACAGAGAAAAAAGCTGAGGTTCAAAGAAGCTAAGTAACCTGCCTGAGGTCAGACACTTTATATTAGTGACAGAGTGGGGATTTTCATGGTCTCAAAGGATGTAGGGGCACTTGACTGCAGTACATTTGCCAGAACTCATCTCCTTTCCATCTCCCATTTACAAAATACCTCTCCTTTGGAGTGCTATTTCTCAATAAATATAGAAGTAGCCCTAGTAGGCCCAGAGTCACTCCAGTCACAACGTGGGATCATCCTGACTCTCCCCTTCCACGCTCACTCAGGCACTGAAGCCCTGGCACCCTACCTTATACCTCCCAACCTGTCCACTTCTCCGCATTCCCTCTTAGTCAGTCCCATCCTGGTCCAAGGCCCCATTACCTCTCACTTGGACCATCGTAAGAGTGAAGAGCAGGAACTCTGGAACCGTCTGCCTGGTTTGAGGCCCAGGCTTTCTAACCTACTACCTGTGAGACTTCAGACAAGCTACTTAATCTCTTTGGGTTCCAGTTCCATCTGTAAAGGGGGGCAATAATTAGAAAAGTGCCTGATACATAGTGTAAGTACAATATACATGTTAGTAAGGGACAGGGAATTTACTTAGCACCTCAACTTTTCCTCAACATGCTTCACACAGTACAGTGATGTGTGTGTGTGTGTGTGGTGGGGGCGGGGGTAAATGCAATTCTGGGGCTGGGATGTAGTTCGGTGGTAGAGTGCTTGCCTAACACACACAAGACCCTGGGTTTGATCTCTAGCCCACAGCCCAAAGTAAATCAACATAAGAAAAGCAAATCTGATTACATGACCCACATCAAAAATGTTTAATAGCTTCCCATTACAGTTAAAAATCTTTGGTTCAACTTTCTAAATTGTAGTCAATACTTCTCATTTTTTACTCCTTACAATATTTTAGGCTCTTGAACAAGTGGAAACCAAGTCCAACTATACCTATTTATCCTTAGAGGAAAAAGAAAAAAGGGATTAGAGTAATTACTTCACAGAGGTTTCCTACTCACTCAGTGTACAACCTATTCCAAAAGTTCCCAGGTTTGCTCTTCCCGCGTGGTATCATGGGTAACCCTTACAACTCATTACTTAATGTGTCCTTCTCACCAGTCTGTAACCTCTGAGGAAAAGATCTTGCTTGTTGGTTCTAGGCTGTAAACCCCAGCAAGGCCTAGCTAGCCCAGGCATTATAAATATCTACTGAATAAACAAAACTGGAAGCCAGCTGGGGTAGTGCAGACTTATAATTCCAGCAGCTCAGGAGGCTGTGGCAGGAGGACTGCGAGTTCAAAGCCAACCTCAGCAACTTAGGAAGGCCCCAAGTCTCAGTGAGATTCTTGTCTCTAAATAAAATACTTAAAAAGGCTGGGGATGTGGCTCAGTAAGTGGTCAAGCACCCCTGGTTTAATTCCTGGTACCAAAAACAAAAAACGAGAGAGAGAGAGAGAGAGAGAGAGAGAGAGAGAGAGAGAGAGAGAAACTGGAATGAAGCAGAGTTAAATTCCCCATGAAAGTCCCTGGCCTTTAACTGCCCCCCCCCACTACTTCTTACGGGTCCCCACATTTGGCCTATCCCCGTTCTTCCCATTGCCTAGCTCCTTAATGTTGGGACCGTCTCCGCCCAGGGTCCAGAAGCAGCCTCTTCACAAATAGCATCAAGACCAACAGCCTTTCCCTTCCCAGGTGCCCCAGAACCTCCCTTCCTAACAGGAAGCCTTCCAGATTCTTCCTCCAGTTGCCCATCATGCCTGTTCACCATTCCCCAAAGTGTCCCCTTACTGATCAGTCCCTAGCCCGTCCACCTTACAAATACTCACAAAACCAGCCCTCCCCAATCCATTCCAGCTGACAAACCACCCGCCCCAACACACACATTCTCTCTCACACACATACACACTGTCCCCATGGCCCTGGTGGCCTCAACCTATAAGGGTGGCACACCAGTGAATCTCCCAGGTGCACTTCCGACTGCCCTCCAGCCGCCCCACTCATTCACAGCCATTCCTCTCGGACCCTGGCTGCAGCCCCCTGTCCCCACCCACATCCCAAGGCTTCCTGGCGATCCAGCCTATTGTCTGAGGGACCCCTCCAGGTGTAAGCAGCCACCCCCAGGCCCCGGAACTCCTGCCCAGCCCCTGTAAGCAGCCACCCCACAGGCCCTGCGGCATCCCGAACCCCGGCCTCCACGCTCCCTAGCCCGCGCCGCTCCCGGGACCTCCCTCCACGGCCCCTGGAACCACGCGCCCGCGCTCGGCTCCCAGCCCTCGGGACCCCACGTGTGCCCGCGGCCCCCGACGGCCGGCCCAGCACCCGCTCCCGGTGCCCCGCGCGGCCCCTGGGAAGGCCGGCCCGGGAGTCGGCGTGGCTCCGAGGGCGGCGGAGGCTGGGCGCGGCGGCCGGCGCGGCCGGGGGCCTGGGGGACGCGGCGGGGCGGCCGGCGGGACCCCGGGAGCGGCGCCAGGCCGCGCGGGCCGGCGGCGGGCCTCACCGTCAGTCACGGCTCCCATGGCGTGCGCGGCGGCGGCGCAGGCTGGAGCGGCGGTTGGCGGCGGCGGAGGTCAAACTCCCACAATGCAGCCGGGTAAACAGCCATGGAGGAGGAGGCGGCGGCGCCCGCGGCCGCCCGCTCCGACGCCTGAGTCGCGCCGCGCCGCCGCCGCCGCGGGACCCGCGCGCCCCGCGCTCCCCGCACTCCCGGGGGACGGCCGCGGCCGGCGCGTGAGGGGGCGAGGCCAGGCGGCCGGCGGCGGCGGCTCGGGCTGCAGCCCCGGCCCCGCCGCCCCCCTGCCGCCCCCGCCCGGCCCACGCCCAGAGGCCGCCCCGGAGGCCGCCGCCAGCCGCCAGGTGAGCTCGCCCGGGCGCCGCCGCGGATGCGGGAGCGCGGGGTCGGGGCCCCCGCGGCCCCCGGGGAAGGTGGCCGCGGCCCCTGCCGCGCCCGGGCCGCCGCAGCTGGGGAGGGAGTGCAGCCGGGGGTGGGGCGCGCGGCGCGGCGGGGCGCCTGGAGCGGGGCCGCGGGCCGCGGCGCGGGGTCCCGGCAAAGTTGGCGCCCGCGCGCGCCGGGGCGGGTCTCGGGCGCGGGCGCTGGCGGCGGGAGCGGCCGGCCAAGGAGGAAAAGGCCCCGGGTTCCAGGTCGCGCGGTTCCGGCCGCCGCGTCCTCCCCCTGGCTGCCTGGGCTCCGGCGGGTGCGGGAAAAAGGGCGAAAGAAACTTGGCGACCTCCTGGAGGAGTTCGCGGGGCGGCCCCGAGCGCGGTGCCGCGGGCCTGCCCACCCCCGAGCCGGGGTCCCGTCGGGGGTCTGGACGGAGGGGGGGCTTTCGTTTCATTTTGTCTTTGGTTTTCAGAAACCGTCTGTGTGACCGTCCCCGTCGTAAGGGGAAGTTGGGAGCGGAGGGGGAGGTGGTGGTGCTCCACGAGAAGCGTCGCCCATGCGTGGAGTGAGACCTTCCCCGAGCAGATCCCAGGGCATCTCTGCCCCCAAAGTCACTTTGATTGGATTTCGATGACTTTCTCGTAAATGGCACCACTTAGGTGCCAGTTGAGGAAACAGACACCACAATGGTTGATTTGACCTCCAAGGAGAATTTATGCAGTTAGCACCAGAAGCCTGGCAGAGTTTTGAACCCAGGTTTGGTATTTGATGGAGACGTGTCCTTCTTTTCCAGTTTTCATGACCCTCTTGCATCTTCATATCCTGTATAAAGCAGTTAGTTGCCTAAGATGAATTTGGTGGATTCGGTTTTCTTACTGAAGTTGGGTCCCTTCTCCCAGGTTTCCCCCAGTTCTTTCAAAGAGGAAGAGTTGTAAATGCAAATGTATGCTAAGGAAGTGTAGTTAACCTCTACAAAAAAATCGGTATATGTAAATTTTTATTCATATTAAGGGAAGCTCATAACTTCAGTAATACCATTGCAGTATTCTTAAGAATTCATGCTCAGATTGGATGTAGGGGTACATGCCTGTAATCCCAACTGCTCTGGAGGCTGAGGCAGGAGGATCCAAAGTTTGAGGCCAGCCTCATCAATTTAGGGAGACCCTGTCTTGTAAAGGACTGGGGATGTGGCTCAGTGGTAAGGTGCCCCTGGGCTCAATCCCCAGTAAAATAATAATAATAATAATAATTAATTAATTAATTAAAAATTAAAGCTCAAGAATTAGCTTTTTGGTTCAAAGGCAAAAAATAACCGGTGTATAACTTTCCTTCCCCTTCCTCCTGAGTTTGAAAAAATATTGGCCTAAGGGGCAGGCCAGTGGTCCTTGGGTTTCAGACCCTGTTCATTTGGTTTTGGACAGAGAAAACTAACCAAAAGAATGTCTTTAAATCTTAAGTAGTACAAATAGTATGTTGAACATATCAATTGGTTGTCTATCACCCAAGAGGCATTTTGGTGGGGGTATTTCTTATTTGAAAAGTAATTGTCAAGTAGTGAAAAGATATTTTTAAAAGCTGCCTATCACTTGATCTTATCATCTTATTGATTTTGAAACAGTATCTAGTGAGTTCAAAGAATCTTTTAATGTTTTTAAAGGAAAGTATTGCTGATCCTTGTAACTGTTAAATTTCCAAGAAACATTTTATCAGTTATTCATAGATGGAGTCCTGACCAAACACTTTATAAGTTCTTTTGGTAAACTTACAATTTTGTTAATGAGTTCTAGAAGTTTTATAAAAGTAATAAGGCCACAGGGGATTGAAAGACTTTGAAGTTTGAGGTGTACCTGAAAAGGAACATTCCTAAACTTCTTGACTCACGTGGGCAACACGTGGTTTGAACTTTCAGGAACTCTTCAAAATCTGCATTGTCAGCCACATAATTTACCTCACAACTGCCTTGACACAGATCTATGCGTTGAACATTTAAGAATTCATTTTACTCCCAGTGGCCTGGGAGGGTGAGACAGGAGGATCACAAGTTAAAAGTCAGCCTCAGCAATTTAGTGAGGCCTTGAGCAACTTAGCAAGAACCTGTCTCAAAATTTAAAAATAAATAAAAAGGAATGGGGATGTGGCTCAGTGATTAAGCACCCTGGGGTTCAATCCCTGGTACAAAAAAAAAAAAAAAAGAATTCACTTTCTTTTTGTCATATAATATGTAGCAAGAGAATATCCTATTGAATTTTAGAAGTGGCCTTTTTTTCAAATACTAACCATTTTGTCATTGTTAATGTAGGATGGACTCAAGTCCTGTGCCATATCGACAGTTCTTTCCAATTTAGGGAGAACTTTGGGTAGAAACATAATTGGAAATAAACAGTTTTAAGCTGTAAGAAAGCTGATTTGCACTTTGAGCTTCTGTGACCTTAGATTTTGTGATTTACACAAGTCTTTAGATTCCTGGTTTCTTTGAGAATATAAGAGACTAGTTGAGGAAATAGATAAAAAATGGGGCCTGTGGGTCTCAGGGGTAGAGTGCTTGCCCAGCGTGTGTGCAGGTCCTGGGTTCAACTCCCAGCCCTGCAAAATAAACAACAAAAAAACGTTCAGAAAAAAAATTGAGTTTGCCTTCTGAAAATATATGAGAGCTCATGTTGGGTCTTTATCTGAGGGCTATGAAATGATGTGGGCCTTTGTGGATATTTCTGAAGTATACTTTTAGAGTAAAGGTTATGCTGGGCTCGGTGGACCTCCAGGAGTGGTTAGAGATTCATCTTTTTATTAAATAAAATGGGGGTGAGAATATTCATGCCCAGGAGGAAAAAAGTTTTAAAAAGTAGAGTTTTGAGCTCAGTACTTTAAAGATGTCTTCAGCCTCGTCCCGTGGCCTTAGAGGTGCAGAAGCACTTCCATTTTGTTCCCACAGCAGATCTTGCCTGTCAGTTGATGAGCCATGCACATACACAAAGGGCAGGCTGGCCTGCCATGCTCGCCCTGGGTGCCTTGCGGCCTAGTCATTGTATCTAAAAGTTCAGACCAGATAGATTGAATAAGCAGGGACTTGAGTCCCTCGCCGTCCTTTAGAGTAAGTGGTTCACAGCTTCACGCTCTTATTTCTCCCTGGCAAATGTGAAATCTGACTAGGAGGCAGGCAGTCACTCCAGGAAAATGTGTTTGTGCCTTGAAGGGAACACGATGGGAAAAGAGTTTCTGTGTCAAAACAGACCTAGGTTCAAGCCTAGGTTCTCTCATGCACTGTGGCTACTTAACCTGCCTGATCTTCTAGTTACTCATGTGGACAGCGGCTGTCTAGCAGAGTTGTTCAGAGGCTGGCTAGAAGTCTCTTTGTGTGTGTGTGTGTGTGTGTATTTAATTTTTTTTTTCTTTTTAGATATCCATGGCAGTAGAGTGCATTTTGACTTATCATATATACATGGAGTCTAACTTCTCATTCTTGTATTTGTATATTATGTGGAGTTTCCCTGGTCGGGTAGTCTTACATGAGCATAGGAAAGTTCTGTCCAATTCAATCTACTGCCTAGAAGCTTCTTGTATAAAATTAAGAGCCCTTGTTTGTCTCAGAGGAAGGAAGGACTTAAAAGCCAGATTTAGGTAGCCGTAAACATGCATAATCGTATGCTAGTGTACATTATTTCCAAATAATGTAGCTATTAACCTATAAAACTTTTTAAAACCAGGTTTTCAATAGTGTGGTAGAACTGAGTGGTCTCCAGGCTGTAGACATTTGGTGGTACATTTGGCATAGCTGAAGACATGTATGCTGCCCAGGAAGAAACAGTGGCCACCCTCCAGCACCAGAGTTGTCTCTGTGGGCAAGAGTCCTTCGAACATTTCCTCTATACTTGTAATTTAAATTCAGAAATTGAAGTTCAGGGCTTGGGATGCAGCTCAGTGGTAGAATTCTGTCTAGCCTGTGAGAGGCACTGGGTTTGATTGCTATTAAAAAAAAAAAAAAGGGCTGGAGTTGTGGCTCAGTGGTAGAGTGCTTGCCTAGCACATGTGAGGCCCTGGCTTCGATCCTCAGCACCACATAAAAATAAATAAACAAAATAAAGGTATTGTGTACAATTGAAAAAATAAATTAAAAAAAAAAAAAACCTTTACATGTACTTTCTAATCTGTTACCCCTAGAAATGCTTCATAATTCCCTCCTTTTGGGGATCCTTACAGTACCTCATGGACTAAGTGGGTGGAAGGTACACCTACAACTTTGCCTAATTTCTTCTTATTATTTTTTTATTTATTTTTATTTACACACACACACCAGGGATCAAACCCAAGGCTTTGCATATGCTAGGCAAGCGCTCTGCTACTGAGCCACATCCCCAGCCCTTTTTGAAATTCTGTTTTGAGAAAGGATCTCAGGATGCTGTCCAGGTTGGCCTTGAACTTGAGATCCTCCTGAGTACCTGGGATTACAGGTGTGTGCCCTGTCCCCTGCTCATTCTGCCATCATTACCTACATGTCTGGGTATCTGTGTCCATTTTTCTCAACAGGAAAAGGAGTCTTCTTGTAGAACTGAATCATATTTTCCTTTAAATGTTAAAAGAGGGCATTATATGTTGAAAAGGTGTAAGTTGTATGAGTAAAATACTTAGAATGCTCATGGCCTTAAAAATAAAGTTGTTTCTTCTGTTTCTGGGGGCTTTCCCCTTTCCTCTCATCTGTTCCTGATGAGCATTTATGCCTGCTGATTTGGGCTGATGGTTATGAACTTGGACTTTAGACTGGAATCTGGATTTGACTCTTCTTTTTCCAAGTTCTCTGGTTTTCTTCAACTTGGTCCAGTAAGCTTCTCTGAGTTTGAAGAAGGTGATCATTAAATGGAATAATAAATGCACAAAACTTTACTCAGTCCTGGGACCCTAGGAAGTGCTCTGAAAGTGGTAGCCATTTTGAAGATAGTTTCGTTCTCATCTTTAAAAGGAGATAACATTTAGTCAGGTTCAT